ATGAGGCAGAAGCAGGCTCAGAGAGTGAGGGAGAGCCCACTCTTATCAAAACATCTACAATAAAGTCAGTTATTACAGAGTGTGCTGTCTTCTCTTTTAATTGTATATTTGTAACAACTGGATAATTTGTATTAACAAGCACCCGCCCCCCTTATGCCCCTTTTTTTTGGTTTGTTGGTCATGTTCTGGGTTTTATTATTAACATTTGTGTATTTTCATTGTTCTTTTGTGTTTTATAGCAGTTTATTTTAATGTCTCAATGCAAGTTCATTTTGAATACAGTTTGTTAAGATGTTACCTGCAGAAATGCTGATGTTTCTGTCTGACTTGTTTAAACACACTCATGTGATCATAAACTCCACCCTCTTACAGCTCTTACCAGGAAGAGACTGACGTGTTATTTCTGCTTTCTGTCACACTGACTCTCTTCTCTACTGACAAAAGCAATAAAGAACCAGCCATCAGTGAAGAACCAAGAGAAACACTTTACAGAAGGATCTTTGTGAAGTTTGTTTCTGAATAGATAGCAGATCTTTGTGATTCTCGAGGTAATTCATTTTTCAGACTGTAGTTCAGAATGTGAAAGTAAAGTTTAGATCGCTGGAGCTCAAAGACTGAAAATGGCTTCACTATCTGAAGATGATTTTTCTTGTCCTGTATGTCAGGAAATCTTCAAGAATCCTGTTGTTTTATCATGTAGTCACAGTTTCTGTAAAGAGTGTCTTCAGCAGTTCTGGAGAACCAAGAAAGGTCTGATTTCAGATCATTGATTGATTGATTGATTGAGTTGTTGATGATCAATGGTGTGTTTGTTCTGCAGGAGTTTCCAGTCTCAATGGAAAGGTGAGTGATCTGCTGCTGTCTCTGCTCTCTCTGCTTCTGATCCAAAGCCACTGCAGTTCTGATCCTGAATGTTCTTCCAGAGTCCAGATCTCATCACAGCCGGATCCACAGACTCCTTCTGGAGCTTTGATTCATGTGCCACGTTACTTGGGCAACCTGCCCTTCAGAGTCTGGAAGAAGATGCAGGACATGGTCCAGAACAGTGAGTCTGACTGCAGAAGATCTGAGCTCGCATACACACACACTTAAAAACTGCAGAAATCACTTCTGTGTCTTTCGTGAGACTCAAAAAAGGAAAGTCAAGCGCACTGAATTCTGGGATTGGTTCTTTCTAAAAGTGAGCTGTTGATTTTGGTGAAGCAGATGATCTGGTTCTTCACACATAATGCTGAAATCTGTCAATATTGCATCATTTCCAGACTCTTTATTTCATCAGACGGACAGAAACATTTCTGCACAAAAAGGGTTTTTTTTCCCATAATGATAAATCACACAAAGAATGACTGACAGTGATGAGAGGAACATGTCTGATGTGTTTGATCAACAGCACGAGTGTCATAATTCATAATCATCTGTGTTGTTCACTCTTGATCATTATATGAACATCAGAATAACAGCATCTGTTGATTGTGTCTCATCAGCTCCTGTGATTCTGGATCCAAACACGGCTCATCCAGGTCTCGTTCTGTCTGATGATCTGATCAGTGTGAGAAACAGCGATTATCAACCTGTTCCTGATAATCCAGAGAGATTTGACTGGTGTCTCTGTGTTCTGGGTTCAGAGGGGTTTAACTCAGGAACATACTGCTGGGATGTGGAGGTTAAACAGAGTCAATACTGGAGTCTTGGAGTAACTACAGCATCAAACCAGAGGAAGGGACGGGGTTTCTTTAACACTGGTGTCTGGTTTGTGGAGTACGGACTGTATTCAGGTTCTGGTTTTCGTGTTACACAGGATAACGTGAGAAACAGCATAATAGCGACCGTAACCAGATGCTAGTCGTCATATTAGTAAGTTTTTAGTCTTTCTGCAATCTTTCTCTCCCTGATGGAGGTTGAGTGAGTTTTAATGAAGACTCTTCAGATAATAAAGAGTTTCGCTGAATGCAGTTGGTTGTCTTGTGTTTTTTTCGGGTTAAATGACTTTTGTAATATCCACTTATACTGTATGCTTATGTGAAATATTTTCGTAAGAGCAGTATTAAAATAGATGAATGAATATGCAGAAGTTGAACGAATTTTAACAATGTTAAACATTTAGACTAATTAATCTTAAACAGTAAGATTAAGTAAAGTAAGAGTAAAGTAAAGTAAAGTAAGAAACAGTAAAAAACATTTTACTGAATGAAATTCTCATATTTATGCCAAAATTCTTAATTAATATTCAAAGTCATGCTGTCAACGCGTGTAAAATGACTGTCAGTGATAAATGACAGGATAATGGCTTAAATTGAATAATTCTGATCTTATTCATCAGGTCTCACACACACTGCAGCATCACACATGTTTACGAGCCATGGCTTTCTCAGATCGGCTTACGTTAGATTAAAATTACAAGTTCTGTTGAGTTTGGAAAATGTTTTGAGGGACAATGGCCCAAACCAAAAAAAGGGGCACAAGGAGGGTGGGTGCTTGTTAATACAAATTATCCAGTTGTTACAAATATACAATTAAAAGAGAAGACCGCACACTCTGTAGTAATGGACTTTATTGTAGATGTTTTGATAAGAGTGGGCTCTCCCTCACTCTCTGAGCCTGCTTCTGCCGCATCTTCAATGGAAGTAATGTATGTGCTGTACATGTGGAAGAATTGACAATAAAGCAGACTTGAACTTGAAATAGGGAAGAGTGGGGTAAGTTGAGCCAGTGGGTAAGTTGATCCACCCCCTGTATCTTGGCAACTGTACACTTTTACTCTCATGTGACCATGTATTTTGGAACCACCCATCATTTCTGCCAGACTGTGAATAGGAGAAACACATGGGGGGAATGGAAGGCACCCATTTACTTTGACAAGCCAAAAACCGTTTTTAAAGTACAATTTTAGCATAAGAGATGCAATGGTTGCTACATCAAAGCAAATTTATCCAGGTCTAAAAATATTTATGATACATATAGGTGATTTAGCAACATATAAAACCATGCAAATCACTTAGCTAAATATTAGCCTGAACTGGTAAG